TCATAAGGAAATCTCTACGGCGGCGGCGGCGGCGGCGGCGGCGGCGGCGGCGCGACAATGCCAAACCCATAGTATCTCCACGAACTTCGTTTGGGGGATACAATAAAGTAATATATATACGCAGCATATTATACGAATGTACACAATAATCACGTCTGATGGCTGACCGTAGCCCTGCACGTTTTGGTTAGATGGGTTCGTGGCCCCACTGTTCTACAGTAGCAGTTGTGAATGTCCTGTATGTATATCTTCAAAGTGTATTGGATTGATGTAGCCTTTTGAATAGCATACAGAAAGCAAACGTGTACATTTCTTATTTTCTGAGGTGAATCCTCTGTAAGTAACCGTATAGTTAGAAAAAAGACCATATTCAAGGTAATAAACGTAAAAGCGCATGTACGATGAACCTTACCCGGCATGTACAATAAGTGGTGGAATATGTAATTCTGTTTATCCTCTTGTGGCATCCCTTTCCGCTGATATTTACCTATCCTGCCTAGTGAGCAACATAAATGGGCGGGTTGTTATGATTAAGAAATCATGTTTTTCGTTACAGTTGATGAGATCTATCACCTTGCGTCACCCGCTTCGCCGCCACACTACATGTTCAATCCTGTGAAAACGCTGAAGACAAACACCCTCGGCACAATAAACATCCTAGGTATGTCCGTGAATATATAATTGTGTGCAGACATCAATGCTTGAGCGTCCACCAAACTGCTTGTTTTTAAACACATTTGAATAACCAGTCCTACAAGCCTAACGTAGACGTTTGTTATTTAACAAATGGAAGCACAGGATGTATATATGGAAATAAAACCAAATACGTTCTACAGAAGCAATGAATGCTATAGAATTTGTGAACTGTATGTGGATAATACTACCTTGTGTTGAAATTTGTTGAGTTCTGAATAATACCCTGACGAACAAATTAGCCACTTAGATCATGCTTTTTTGTCGATAAATTTATCATTACTTTATACTAGTTTTACACATATACTAGATGAGCAGCTTCGATATTGTAGTAATATCAAGAGTGTCATAATATATATATAAATATATATATATATATATATCAGAATCAGATGTAGATAATAGGGAAGGAGTGTGACTTCAAGTTCAATAAACAAGGGAAATTTGTCATTTACTAGCCTTAGAATACCTACGATTTACTACGCGTAACTCAACCAACTTGAGCTCAAATCGTACACAGTACATTCGCCTAACAAAAGGCAGCTACTAGCGACTCTTGCACACTCGGCGATGCGGTGTGGCTCGCTAGTAGGCTGGCCTTTTGTGTTCAAGTTAGGCGGTTTTTAATACATTCGGTTTTCTGGCAACAGAATGGATAATCGTGTCGTACGTTTCAGTCTGTATCTCCGGATTGCGGGTGTATACGAGGAAACGATTTCGGACGATGCTAGGCGAATGTACTGTGTACGATTTGAGCTCAAGTTGGTTGAGTTACGCGTAATAAATCGTAAATATTTTAAGGCTAGTAAATGACAAATTTCCCTTGTTTATTGAAGTCACACTCCTTCCCTATTATCTACTTCTGATATATATATATATGTGACATATTATGACACTCCTGATAATATTTATGCCAATGTGTGCAGGACTGGCTAAGCGTGTGAGAGCACGTGTTCTGTTTGCCTCGACTTCGGAGGTGTACGGTGACCCTGAGGAGCATCCTCAGTCAGAGGACTACTGGGGTCATGTGAACCCAATAGGACCACGTGCTTGCTACGATGAGGGAAAGCGTGTTGCGGAGACGCTGTGCTACTCCTATATGAAGCAGGTTCGTTAACTATGTAATTAGCACAGACTGAGTAAATCTATTTGGGATACTTCCAACATTTACCAGAATAATGATGGTATTTTATCTTACTGTCACTGTCATATGTATGTATGTATAAGTGTGTGTGTGTGAGTGTATTATTTTCACATGCAGGACAACATTGACGTGAGAGTAGCACGTATATTTAACACCTATGGTCCCCGCATGCACATGAACGATGGACGAGTTGTCAGTAACTTCATACTACAGTCACTTCAGAATGAGGCATTAACGGTAAGTAATATCGCCATCTGTGTGAGATGGTTGCACCCCCAGAATTCGAATGGGTCCCCCAAAACTGGGAAAGTAATTTTTAAATGCTGTTTTCGCTCTCTGGAAAATAGACTATTATTACGTTTGGTCCTTAAAAACTTCTAGAAAGTTAGCATGCCTGTTGTGTTCACATTTTACTAATGTTAGTAGCAAGGTTAATATACTGAAAATATAGCCTTGTTTACTATCTGTGAAGCAATAAAACTTTCTTGAGGCAAGTGTTTGTTCAATAATTATTGTTGATGGGCAGATAGTGGGTACAAAGTTTGTTTCCAGCTTAAATCTCAGGGTACTGGGAAAAGGGCTAAAGTTTTGGAAAAATGCTGGACTTTAGGAAAAAGTTCTTGGGTGTGTGAACATTTTTGTATGGATATTTGGAGATGCTTATGCATGAAATTGTCATTTGATTGCGCATATTTTTGCATGTTTGCACACGTTGACAGATATATGGCTCAGGGGAGCAGACGAGGTCCTTCCAGTATGTTTCGGACCTGGTCGATGGTCTAATGGCACTAATGAGGAGTAACTACACACTGCCAGTGAACCTTGGCAACCCAGAGGAACACACCATCAACGAATTTGCACACATAATCAAGAAGATTATCGGTCAGTGTTCAATCACAAATCACAGTGCAGTTTGGTCTGGTTATGTCGTAAGCAGATTCCTCATGTGATGGTGGTGGTGGTGGT